CGAGGAAATTTGACTGAAGCAAACCTAAGAAACGAAATCATTTGAGACTTATTTGCTCAAGTTAGAGATAGGAGGAAACTTAGTCTCTCTTGCCTCCACAAAGTTCTGCGCCAACTCTGCGAAGTTCCCCATGCAGCAACAGCCCAGTGCCCGGGATTAGCCTCAGACGCAGGGCCGCCCAAGCCCGTGCTTGGCCCCCGAGGTCCAAAGGGAGCCTGGGCCCCAACCCCGGCCCCCGGGGCGGCGCGGGCCCTCCGGGCCGCACTCACCCGCGATGTCCCAGAGCTGCAGGCGCACCACGGTCTCCGGGTCCCACTGGAGCACTTTCAAGGCGAAGTCCACCCCGATGGTGGCCCGGTAGTGGGAGGAAAAATTCTGGTGCACATAGCGCTTGATGATGCTGGTCTTGCCCACGCCCAGGTCACCGATCACCAGCAGCTTGTAGAGATGCTCCCTCGGCTGGCTCTGCATCCTGCCTCTGCGCCTGGGCCCGCGCCGCGCGCGCTGATCGCATGCCCCGCGCACCGGGCGCTGGAGGGGCGCAGCCTGGGGACGGGCCCCGGCGTGCGTGGGAGTGTGTGTGTATGTGTGTGTGTGTGTGTGTGTGTGTGTGTGCGCGCGCGCGCGCGCGCGTGTGTGTGCGAGTGAGGGTGAGTAAGTGAGTCTGTGTGTGCCCGAGAGAAGCCCGGGGAGGAAGGGAAGAGAAGCAGGGAGGAGAGAGGAGGCGGGGCAGGCGGGGCTCCGCTCCCCCGGACCGCCCTGCCCCCTCAGGGGCTTAATGCCCTTTAAAACGCATAACCAAGGAGGTGAGGAAGGGAGTGCATCAGGGGGATGGGACCCTGGAGCCTGGCACCAGCGGAGCCTATGGAGGGGGTGATGGGCACTAGAGGGGCTTCTTAACCGCGAAGGGACAAGGCATGGAAACTCCAGACGCCTTCCTCTTTTATTAATCTTTGTATCTCCCCACCTCTCCCGGACTCCGCCAAAGACCTCCTCTGATGCCCCGCTGTGGCCGGGAGGTGACCTTGTGTAGGGAGAGAGCAACCTTCTCCCCAGGCTGAGCTGAATTAAATTGCAAGCCCTGGATGATGTGTCTCCAATACTATTCTGTCAAATTTCTGGGCGTGTTGTTCCCTTGGTGGAGTACCAGGGCTTCACTGCCGCTGACAAGCTGCTAATCAAAGTCTCTTTCTTCTCAAGAGACAGGTAGACAGTGTGACTCACTTTGGATTTTGAAAATTAAATACTAAAGTTCCCGTAGGACAGAATTTCTAATCCTTGATCCAAACTGTGTTACAGTAAGCAAATAACTTCAAATTTTTCTATGCCTCACTATAAAATGTAGGTGATACTGCTTATGTGTCAGAAGGTATCACTAATTAAAATAATCAGGAATTCTTTTATAAATTCTTTCCAACTCTTTGTGACCCCATTTGGGGTTTTCTTGGCAAAGATACTGGAGCAGTTTGCCAGTTTCTTCTCCACCTCATTTTACAGATGAGGAAACTGAAGTAAACAGGGTTTAAGTGACTTGTCCAGGGTCACACAGCTAGTGTCTGAAGCCAGATTTGAATTCAGGATGTTGAGCCTTTCTGAATCCATGCCTGGCACTCTATCCTCTTCACCACCAGTAAATGCAAACAATGAACTAATCCTGCCTTTCTTTCTTAGGACTGCTCCTTATTGGGTCAGTAATTCACTTTTCTATCTACAAGGTTACTCATTTGTATTTACCTTTGCCAAAGTGAGACACCTAAGCCCTATATTCCTTAGCCCTAGTAACTTCTTGGTTATTAGTAAGAAATGTCAGGAGACAGGTGTGAAATAGTGGATAGAGGGCTAATCATAGAGAGAGGAACAACTGATTTTAAATCTCACCACTGATATATGTTAGCTCAGGGGTGGGGAACCTGTGTCCTGGAGGCCATAGATGGCCTTCTAGGTCCTCAAGTGCAGCCCTTTGACTGATTGAGGGCCACACTTGAAGACCTAGAGGGCCATGTGTGGCCTCCTGGCAGCTGGTTCCCCACCCCTGTGTTAGCTGTATAATTGAGGGCAAGTCTCTTAACCTCTCAGTGCCCCAGACAATTTTCTAAAACTAAGTTATGTACTTCAGTTGTTGATATACATCTATGGATGCAGTTTCCTTAATGAGAGTTGCCCACACCAGTGAAATTGCTGCTCTAAGGGGAAAAAAAAGTTTAAATGACAACCAGATAATAATAATAACAAGTATGATGATGATAGCAATAATAGATATTTGTATAGTTCTTTAGGGTTTACAAAGCACTTCATTACGTTTTTAATATGGTGGAGGGCAGGGTCAAGAGCAAAGGTATGAACTGTTTTGTGTAAGGAGATGAGGCCAATCCTGCTTAAATTAGCACCATTATTATTGGGGTCGTTAAAAATCACTAAACTGAAAAACTGCTCTTTCTAAAAACTATTACATAGTTTTCAGATGTGATATACCACAGGCACATAAAAATACCCCAGATTACTATTTTAATAGACAGTCATGGCAGTTTAAAATGATGTTAACCTATCTTTGCTTCAAATAGTTATTATCCTTTTATCCAGTAATAGATCAGGCAAAGCTCTTTCCTACTTGTCTGGGATCTGTACTAACTTGCTTTGCAGATGATATCTGTCTTGGATGCAGGGCTCCAACAGAGACTATCAAACAGGAAATGACTTTTGTTTTATCTATGAAGAAGGAAGAAATGAGTTGTGGTTGCAAATTTGCAGATATTTTTAAGGATTTAGACTAGGTAAGCTCTTCTACAGAAGGAGAAGGGAGAAGTATTTATTTCTGTTACCTGGACTCTGATTAGTATGATGGAACCTGAAGCAATGGGCAGAAGTTGCCCCAAAAAAGGGGGAGAGGGATATTTGGGTTTGATGTATGCAAATCTGTCTAACAATTGGAACTATCCAGAAGTGGAACTGGCTGTCTCAGAGACAGAAGACTACTTGTTAGATGATATTGTGGAGAGGATTCTTGTTCATGTGTGGATTGGCAGCTATATAAGACCTTTGTGTTTTCTTACATTTCTGAAGTTCAATGGAAAACAGAATATTCCCCAAATTTATCTTTAGCAACAGTTTTGATCTCCACGAAAAGATTTTTGTTGTTTTTGAGATAAATGATTATTTGTCCCTCATATTAATAATCAATTATTGAATTAGGACCAGGATTTTTTCAGTAGTCTGTAGGTTCATTCAGTTTCTGAAGGACATTGCTGATAATGAGAATGAATTAACTTTCTCCTCAATCAGGTCAGACTGCACCCAACCTTATAAGGAATTCAACCTAAGGGGAAGCCTATTGTGCTCTACCCAGGTATGAGTAGGGATAAATTCTTTGGTTAGATTGCCCAACTGCTGGGCAATTTAAAAGTAAATGACTTAATTGAAATTACATTCCCTCAGCCCTTCATTAGAATAGGTACACCTCTCCTTGTAATATTCATTCTTCTCCTTAATTGTTAACCAATCAGAGTTGATTGCCTTAGGAACCTTAGGAACACCCACTCTTCCAAGGTCATATAAATTGTGAGCCCACTGCCATGATTTGTCTTTGGCATTCGAGAATGTCACTGACCTATTTTATTAGTAATATGCTAATATTATTAATAAAATAATTAATTACCCAGAAATTATGTTTCTCAGACTTTTTAAATGTCACATTTTAAGTTAGTATGGTACACTGGGAAGATCTTTGGAGTCAGAGGATTTCATTTTGAATCCTGATTCTGTTATTTCGCTACGTGATCTTGGTAAGTCAATTAACCTCTTGGAACCTCAGTTTCATCTGTAAAATGAGAGGGTAGACCAGATGACCTCTAAGATACCCTCCGGCTCTAAATTTTATCATCTTTTTCAAGAGACATGTTGGTATAGTAGAAGGAATACCAGATCTAAAGATAGGGGTTCTCATCCTAACTTTATCTTCTGTGAGTTGTGTTGCACAGAGGAAACCATTTAACTTGCCCAAACCTCTCTTTGCTCATCTTTAAAAATGGGAATAATAATACTCAGCTCATTTCACTCCGTGATCCACAATATCTCCTCACCAGTCTTGCCCGCTTCTGTCCTGGTCTTGCCCTCCTGATTGACGAGTCCCTGGATGCCCATATCTTGAGGTGCCCCAGTCATACTTGCTTCATTCCCAGCTCAAGCCATTCTCTGGACTACAGCATTACCCGCAGGTGGGCACCGTTCCCTCCTCCCTATCTCCTCTTTATATTGTGTCTTCCTCTACTGGAATATAATCTCCTTTAGAATAAGGATCATCTTATTCTCTTGTATTCATACCCTTAACAATTAGCACATAAGTGCTTAAAATTCTCTGTTATCATATTTATCTATCACCTGTCTATTTATCTATCATCAATTATTTTATGAATAGCTAGATGGCACACTGGATAGAGTGCTGGGCCTGTAGTCAGGAAGACTCATCTTCCTAAATTCAAATCTCGCCTCAGACACTTACTAGCTGTGTAACCTTGAACAAGTTAACCCTGTTTGCTTCAGCTCCTCATCTATAAAATGAGCTAAAGGAGGAACTGGCATACTACTCCTGCATCTCTTTCAGGAAAACTCCAAATGTAGTCACAAAGAGTCAGACACAATTGAAAACAAAACAACATTATTTCATAGAGGTATTGTGGGAATCAAATGAGAGAATATTTTTGGTGAAAATCCTTTGTGACCATTAAGTATCTATAAATATAGATATTTTTATTATTATTACTATTACAGGTGTTGCTCATACTTTTGAAACATCAAATTTTAAGTTCCTTTTCCTTCCTCTGTCAGCCCACCAGATGGGAGTGGTAATTAGGAATGAAATGGTCCAAATTCAGATATCTAGGAGTTGAAAAGGGGGACAAAGGATAACACAGAAACTATATCATTGGCCCACCAAGAGCTAAGTTGATTCTAGTTCCATTTTGAAAAGACTAAGGAACCCAAGGAAACATTAAACAGAGATGGAAAGTAGTTAAGTCTGAAAGTTATATTTCTAACCTGTGTGGCATCACAGGCAAAGTATCAGGATAGGTAAATGTGTCATGTTTAGTAATTAGTGGGTGAGGTTTCACAGAATCACTGAATCTCAGAGTCAGAAGAAACTTTAAGAGATCATAGTATCTAGATATCAAGCTGAAAGAGACCTTAGAAATCATCTCTTCCAGCCACCTTATTTTACATACCCAAAAATTGAGGTCCAAAGAGGTTGGGTCACAGGGGTAATGAAGGCAAAATAGGTCAGTTAGTTCCATCCTGCAAATGTGGGCACTGGTAGCAAAAAAGGTTCCACTTTTTGCTTCTAGAGAAGGTGGCTGGTTAAGTTGAATAAGATCCCTGGGAAGATAGCTCAAGGCTGTTGACAATGCGTCCAATGTTCTTTTTACCATGCTGTCCTTAGAAAGATCTGTTGGAGGTTGATGCTAATGTTAAAACGAACATGGAGCATTTATTTTTAACTTTGCGAGCCTGTACTAAGCTAATACTAATCATACAGCTTGCTAGCAAAAGAAGGCACTTGTTTTTGTGTACTCGGACACCTCAGAAATATTGTACTGATGAAGAATGACCTTACAGAGGAGGTTTCAACCCTCACTAAGGCCTCAGTCAATTAAAAAAATAACAATATTTCTAAAGCGCCTAGTTTGTTTCGATAGTGTGCTAGTCTGCTGGAGAGATTATAAAAATCAAAACCTAAGGAAGTGGCTCATTGGATTGAGTGCTGGACTTGGAGTCAGGGAAGCCTTCAGTGCCTTGGGAACTTAACAGTGTTTGACCCTGGGCAAGTCAGTTTTCTCATCTGTAAAATGGAGATAATAATAAAACCTATCTCACAGAGTTGCTATTAGGATCAAATGAAACAACATATGTAGGGGCAGCTAGGTGGTGCAGTGGATAAAGCACCCGCCCTGGAGTCAGGAAAACCTGAGTTCAAATCCAGTCTCAGACTAGACACTTGATACTAACTGTGTGACTCTGGGCATGTCACTTACCCCCAATTGCCTCATTAAAAAAAAAAACTATATGTAAAACACTTTGCAGAACTTAAAATTTTATGTTTGCTATTGTTTCTGATTAGTCAAAACCCGAGCACCTAAGGAAGTGGGGGGGAGGGAACACAAGCATTTATTAAGCTCCTACTATGTGCTTTTGTGATAAGTTCTCTACAAATATCTCATTTGGTCCTCACAATAGCCCTACAAGGAGGTAGGTAGTTAATATCCCCATTTTACAGTTCAAGAACCTGAAGGAGACAGAAATTAAGCAATTTGCTATACAGCTAGTAAAAAGGCCAGATTTGAATTTGGGTCTTCCGGATTCCAGGCCAAGTAATAAATAATACCAAGAGGCACTTCAGCCTCTTAGAATCCCTAGCTTCATACAAGGTTGAGCTCATGTACCACCTCTTACAGGAAAGCTTTCCAGATCCCTGTAGTTCTTAGTCCTCGATCCTTCCTCAAAATTTCCTATGTATACTTAGCTGTTTATGTATTTTATGCTTCCCTCCCCCATGGAAATGCAGGTTCCCTGAGGACAAGACAGGGATTTTCTTTTTGTCTGTATCCCCAGAGACTAGCACAGTGCCTTGCACATGTAAAGGATGCTTTATAAAACTGATGGGATTGGAATGTTTGATTCCTGTCCATAGACAGCACATATAATAGATACAATAGGAATTCAGAGAAGGAAGAAGACAGTAGAGACTGGGTTATGGTGGGGGTGGGGTGAGGAATGGGAGGTAAAAGGAGAAAGCCTCCCAGAGGAGATGGGTCTTAAAAGATAAGTAGGGTGTCAGATAAGCATAAAAGAAGGGAAGAAGATGTGGAGGGAAGCCTTGGCAAGAGCAAAGGTAGGAATGAATGAATAAGCCTTGTCCTGAGAATAAAGTCATAGAACTGTTGAAGATGGAAGAGATATAAAAAGATTAGTCATTTAGTAGAATCCTCTAATCTTACAAATGAAGAAACTGAGACCTTGAGAAGCGAGGTGATTTATTGAGTCCGTAATGACGGTTAGTGGTAGAGCCCAGACTAGGATTGAAGTGTCCACGTCCAGCAATCATTCTTTCATAACAAACTACCAACCTGTTTTCAGGAGAAGATTTAAACGAGAGAAGTAGGAGACGAAAGTGGAAAAGTCATGTGGCCCTTGATACTAGACTGGGGAATTTAGTCTTTATCTTACTGAGAATGGAGAAATCTTTGGTGTTTTTGTGCAAAATGACATCTTGAAACCATTGTTAGGATGATTTATCAGGCAGCAGTACATAGGTTGGACCAAAAGTAGGAAAGATCAGAGGCAAGCAAAGCAAGTGGAGGCTGTTGCAATAGTCCAATTATAAGACGATAAGAATCTAAACTAGGGTAGTGTCAGTTTGAAAGGAAAAGAAGGGATGTGTGAGAGAAGTATTTGAAAGGAAGATTCAGCAGGTATTGTTTACTGGCTAGATACATGGGCAAAGGAGAATGAGGAGGCAAAGATCATACAATTAGTAAAGTTCCCTGGAAGTATCATAGTACTGGATTTGGGCTCAGAATATCGGGGTTCTGAACCTTACTAGCCTTGTGATCCAAGGTAAGTCCTTTCTCTCCTGGGGATTGTCAGGTTTTTTCATCTTCAAATGGTGATAATATTCACACTGATCTCACTGTGTTATAGCCAGAAAAATGCTTTGTAAGCTTGAGCGTTGTTTAAATGTGAATTACTATCTAGTCCAATTTCTCACCACATTTATTCAACAACTACTTATTAAATACCTACTGTCTACAAAAATACTGTCTTCAGCACTGAGAGAGATAACAAGTGGAGATAAGGCTGAGGCCTTGCATTCACAAAATTCACCTTGTAGTAAGAGAAGATATAAATACAGATAGATATTATAGCCAACATTACCTGACAGGTGCAATAGGGAGCCACAGGAAAAGCTTTCTTCGAGGTCCTAGGGGAAGAAAAGTCATTACCAAAGGGTTAGGATGAGGATCAGAGAGAGCTTCTTTGAGAAGGTGATATTTGAACTGGGTTTTAAAGGATAAGTAGGCAAAGAGGAATAGGGAGGATGTTTCAGGTGTAGGGAAAAGTGGTGAGCAAAGGTATATGGGTGCATGACATATTCAGGGAACAGAGAACAAACCAGCTTGACCAGACCATCAAGTGCATGGTGTTTAGTAACATGAGATAAGATTGGAGTGGCAGGATGACACTGGCATGTATTTGAAGACCAGACAAAGGTGAGAATATGAAGTCACTAAAGATTGCCAGGCAGAGGAGTGGCACAATGAAATTTATGATTAAGAAAGATTATTCTGTCAGCAATATGAGCGACACATTGGAGAGCGTCCAAGGTTTCAAGCTTGTTGGCCTGAGAGAGTAATGGCCAACTTTAAAAGGAAGTCAGGAGGGGAAGCCAGTTTGGTGGCACGAGAGGATGAGTTTGATTTTGGAGATGTCCAGGTTAAAGTGATAGTATTGACACTTTACACGTCTCTTCAGAGGTGAGAGTCTCTCTAGATTAGTACAATGAATGCTGTCTGACTGGTTCTGCGGTGTCACATTGTGCCACCCACATTGAGGACAGTGACTCCCTGCAGTGATCCCATTGATTGGAATCAGCAGGATCAAGATAAGGAATTTTCCCAGAAACAAAGACAGTGAAACCTAAACACCAGATACCAGAAATAGTGAGCACTCTAACTGTGTCCAGGCCTGGCAATGAGGCACTGCCATTTTGGGGGCCCTACAGAATGCAGAGGGAAGTCCTAGAGGCGTTAGGGAGCTAGAGATGAAGCCATGGTCACAAGGTCTGCAATTAGAGAATCCTAGCACCTCAAAGGGAACAAAGAACAAGTACAACTGCAACAGATCTGTACTTCCTCCTTCTCCTCCTCCTCCTCCTCCTTTTTTTATCTTAAATTTCATCAGCAAACGTTTTGTGGAAATTTGTTTTCTTACATCTTTTATAAGTACCTATATAACATCCCCATTTTTGCCTCTTGGTCCACAAAGCCTAAAATATTTACTAGGAAGACCTTTCAGAAACCGTTTGCTGGCCCCTTATATATACTGAAGAAAGTAGTGGTACAAATGTCGCTAATACAGATTAAACTTGAAACTGTGTCCTGTACACATTTTTTTTTTCTGGAGAGCTAGTTGTTAAACTTTGCCAGCATGCTGCTGCCCAGTTGTCTCAATTTATCTCAATTATCTCCCACAAAAAGCCTCAGAACAAAACTGTTTTCATATAAATGCCAAATATAGAAAGAGGCAGAGTGGTATAATGGATAAAGAGGTAGCTTCAGAGTCAGAAAGCTATGTGTTCAAATGCTGCCTCTGACACACTGGTTAACACATTGTCAAGAGGTTTAACCTCTCAGTGTCCCCAGGCAATTCTATAAAACTGTAAGATACAGAGAAATTGCTGTTCTGTCTTAGTAGAGGAAATTTCTGACAAAATTCTCTACACTGATGAAATCTCAGGGCAAGTAAAAGAAAACAAAAATATGATACACACTTCACAGTGCTTTTAAGACAAGCCTCAGGTCATGGTGATGCAGAAAAGCCAATAAACAGGGCTAGAATGTGGTCATTGAAGAAAACAAAGGATGTAAAAAACACTTGCAGGAAAAATAAAACAGACAAAAAATTCAACACTGCATAAGGCATCAGGAAGCCCCAGTCCAAGCCACGTACCCAAATGTGACCTTGACCTTAATGATCTCATTTGAAAAGAGGGGATAGCCCCTTACCTGCTTAAAGATGTGAAGCTACACCAGGTGATCCTTCTACTTCAGAGTTCTACTACAAGTAAAGATACACACACACACACACACACACACACACACGTGTGTGTGTGTGTGTGTGTGTGTGTGTGTGTGTGTGTGTGTGTGTGAATAGTTGCTACAGAGGTTGGGTCACTATGGGCCAGTCTGGGAAGGTATCAGGAAGTTTTGGAATGGGGAGGTATGCAGTTTGGGAAGGAATATCCCCAAAGGGAATGGGATTATGAAAGCATGGATATAGGAAGGTTAGCTTGAATAGAAAATTGAGTAGGAATCAGGGTGTAACAGAACATAAAGACACTAAATAGTGAGGAGAGATTTGTTGGAAAGCCTTGAATCTGATGATTAAAGATTTCCATTTGGTGGAAAAGCTCTATAGAGCAGTTATGGGATTCAGAGCAAGGGACTGACATGATTCAAATGTCACTTGGGGGAGATAACCAAACAGCTGTGTATAGCTGTGTAGAGTGAAGATTGAACTAGGAGACCCTTGCTCCATTAGCTAAGCAAAGAGGAGAGAGAGAAATCAAAACAGACTGAAGCCAGGACATGGTAGATAGGAGTGACACTGTCCAGTTCAACTAGGTCTCTCCCCCTAATGCAGTGGTCTCCAAAGTAGCAGAAGAGGGGAAGGGAGCACCCTTTGAGGCTGTGGCCCTAAGGGGGCCAAAGTTTGACCTCAAGGGTTATGTCTCAATAGGATTAGAGGCTAAGATGTCACATCCCACCCTCCCTAGGATGATTAATTGTGAGGCTCATCTCCAACACAACCACACCTGTTTTTCACCCATTGCAGCCTTACACTCTCACACTTTACCTCTTCCCACTGTAGTCCAGCTGCAAACCTTCTTTTTAAGCTAACATAGACCTCTAAGGACAATTATAACCTAATCTCAACCAAGTATCCATAGCACTGCTGTGCCATTGGGCAAATCCTCTCTTTCCGTAGTCTCCACCAAGTATACACATAAAGACAAAAATACTTAGAGAGAAAGATGATCAAAAATTTTGGAGATCATTGCCCTAACAGGAAAATGTAAGATCTATAGAAAGAAATAGTTAAATGACTGATGAATCAGGAGCTCCGATATCAAAGGAATCCTATTCCTATGTTTATCCTTATTTCATCTACGCATGACTGGTATATTCAGAGGTGGCTGCGGGATCCTTACTTTGATACATTTGTATATCCCTCCAGCTTCCTTCATCTATTTCATTATCAAATCCCATACAACCTAGCCTTTCCAAGGCCATCCAAAGCCAACCCATACAGTTCTGGGCAGAGCTGGTTGCCTGAAACTATCATTCATGTTGCTTTGTTTTAGAGTTCATATATCCTCAGTATCTTCTGTCCAATATATCTATTCCTATACTAACAATAAGCCTCATGGTTGGATCAACTAAGTGTGAGGCTCTGTCTCTGTACTTTGAAACTCAGGACCAGATTAGCAGAAAGAAGAAAGTGATACTATTGAAAACAACGATCATAATGATTTCTGACATTTTAAGTACTTTACATGCGTTATTATCTCACTTGAGCCTCCCAAAAACTCTATGAGGTAAGTGCTACAGGTATAATAATCTCCATTTTACAGATGAGGAAATTGAGGTTCAGAGAAGTTACATGACTCATGACACATTACATATGGGGATAGAGGTTGCTATTAGTGAACCTATCACCTCATAGGGAACAAAAAACTGCAGTTGTAAGGGTGAGTAGGACGGGTGAGATTCAAACCAGCTCTTCCTGACCCTCAAATCTATCATTCTGTCCAGTAGATTACAGGGCCACTAAAGTGAAGGGGGGTTGGTGGATTGTAGGTTTATGACTAGGACAGACCTCACGAAGTCATCAAGTTCAACCCCCTCATTCTGCAGATGAAGAATGAAGACATAGTTGAGATGACCACCTTATTTGTACAAGCGGTAAGTGGCAGAGCTAAGGTTTGAACTAAGGTTCAACCTCTAACTAAATCTAACATTCTTAAAGGTCATGTTTCTAATATTTTTACTTTAAAATTGAGGAAACTGAAGTCCCTAAGAGAAGTGACAAGCCCATGGTCAGACAAATAGCAGGGCCAGGATTCAAAGCCAGGTCCTCACCAAATATAGTATGAGATTTAATTTGATAATGAAAAGACTCTACCACAATCCATAAGTGGTGGAATGAAATTAAAGCCTTTTAAATACCTGGAGTGCTACTCCCCCTCCTTCTACTCCTGCTCAAGGCCTGCTTTGGGGATAGAACATGAAGGTTAGGAGGGCTAACAAATACTTTTCAAATAGAATTTAAATGAAGCAAATACACATTTACAAGAATAGCTTGGCTATAGAGAATCATCCTCAAAGTCAGGAAGTCCAGGGTTCAAGTCCCTTTTTTGACGCATGCTTACCATATGACCCTGGATAAGTCCCTGAACATGTCAGTACTTTAAGGCAACTCTCTGAGACTCTAATTTGCAGAGAAAGTGCTAAGCTACTTAGATAGAGGGAATTCCCTCACCTGGATGCACTCTAAACAGGGAGTAGGGAACCTGCTGTAGACCAATGGAATCATAGATCCAGTCTCTATTCCTGTGCATAAATATTGTGTTGGGTTTTAAAATAAGGTATTGGTTTCTTTTAATGACTTTTCTTTTCAAGCTGCAGCTAGCTAGATGATGCTTGGCACAACCCTTCTGAGCATCAATAAATTAATGTACATCCTAGCTTTGAGACTGAACTGGGTTTTAGACACCCAGAGTGTTGAATCTTAGAGAGGGAATGTACCTAGAAAACAAGTAATTCAACCCTTATCCCGACTACAATATGCTGTCCAGCTTTCCTGGAAGCCCTCTAGCAAGGAAAAATCCAAGGACTTCCCAATGCAGCCCAGTCTACTTTCAGATATTTCTAGTTACTAGGAAGTTTGTTTTGCCTTCCATAAAGCCTATTTTTGCCTCTGAAATTTCCACACAATGCTACTCATTCTGCCCTCTGAGCCAAAGCAGATTAAGTCATATTTCCCTCCCACAAGAAACACCTTCAAATACAGTACTTGAAGACTATTAGGTGTTTCTCAACACCCTCTACCCTCAACCCAGTGTCTTTTTCCTAGGCGAATTATCCTTTAATAGTCTTCATTTGGAATTTACCACCAAAATGTCAGCCTCCCTGAACACCAGGCCCACTTGTTACCCAAGTACCTCCAGACTCCTGATCCTCCCAATGGCAAAAAACAAAAGAAAACAAAACAAAACAATGGAGGTTTGTACACTTCTCAGAGTTGTGCCCCTGCAGAACTTAATCAGAACCGCTGCTGATAAGAACATCATCTTTGAAGTTGCCCTAGAGGACCCCCTGCCCAGGGAACCCTGAAGAGTTTCCAAGGACCCCCCTTGGGGAATAGCAGGCCAGTCAATATCTCACAGCTTATGGTAGCTAAGACCACATTCCTTCTGCCTGCAAAGACCCTTACTTTCCAGCCAGGGGATTAGGTAGATGTTCTCCCTCTTGCTGAGGGAAAGAAATAGGTCAAATAAAAAATAATTGAAGATGAAGGAGATTTTCACAGTTTCAATACGCTAAGAAGATTACATGTATTCTAAGTATAATCATGATGGTAGATTTATTGCTGGTTAAGGTTCACACTGAAGTCACAAGTCACTGGAGGCAAATAGGGGTTTTAGTCCCTTCAGAGAGGCAGTAACCCCTTCTTCTTATCTTCTAGTTTCTAATTAGCTAACTTCTATCTAATTTTTATGGGATTGGAGATTTTAAAGACAAAGGAAGAAATCAACTAGGAAAAGTTTTACAGCTGGTCCATTAGATTGTATTTCCATTGGGCTGAAACCAATTGTCATATTTTATATAGCTAAAACTTTGAATAGTGCAAATTGGAATACATGCAACCATTTCACTGGATTCTTTATTCCTACTATCATTATTTGCACTAATCAAGACTAGCTGTAGTTTAATTTAGATAAAGAAGTCTTTCATTGGCTTCAATAAAATAGCACCTACTTAATGGGTGTTGAATGGAATCAAGATCATAGGTCTAGAGGTAAAAGGCATTTTAGAGGTTACTAGTCCAACATTCTCATTTTTCAGATGAAGAAACTAAGGCCCATGCACTGTGCTCTACTCAAGAGTATTTGATTTGAAAACAAAAGTTCTTAGCTTCTCATACCACTTCTACTAACCTATGTGATCTTAGCACAATTACTTGGTTTCTCTGGGCCTCAGTTTCTTTATCTGTAAAATGGAATTCAACTAATTGATTCCTAAGATCCCTCCCAATTTAGAACTCTATAAACTACTGAAATGGAATATATATATATATATATATACATATATACACATATACACATGCATATATGTATATATGTATGCATATGTATATGTAATTTTTTCCTTTAAATATATCCCTTCCCCTTACTTCCCTACTGAGAAAGTTATTGCTTGTAACAGAAAAAAAAAAGGGGAAAAAAATCCAGCAACATGACCCAAGCACATCATCCAAGTCTATACATAGCATGGAGGTCTTATTGTATCCCGTTAAGGATACAATAAGACCAGACATAAGTACTTACCAAGTAAGTAAGTGTTTTTTCTTTGTAAGACTCAACAGTAAGTGACTCCACTATGAGGTAATTTGGAAACGCTCAATTATGTAATTTACAATTCTAAAAAAATGGGTTATAGAATGTTTTTCAATTCCACTTGTTTAGATAAGAAGAATCCATTTGGTTTAAAGTATAAATAAATCCAAACAAGCTTTAAAGGTGAATTAGTATATGGCTTTGGTAATTGTCACCTTTGGGTTTAAGTCACGCTTTTAAAATGCAAAATCACCAATATCTGAATGGAAAAATCTGTCCCATTTCTTTTCTCTCCCATATTACTTACAAAGTGTTATAACAAAGAAAGGAACATTTTAGGAATAAATAATATTATTAAAATTGCTTTAGCAAAGGGCAGCTGGGTGGCACAGTGGATAGAATGCTGGCCCTGGAGTCAGGAGGACCTGAGTTCAAATCTGGCCTCAGACACTTGACACTTCCTCGATGTGTGACCCTGGGCAAGTCATTTAACCCCGATTGCCTCACAAAAAAAAAAAAATTCTTCAGTGTCAGCATATTTGTTTTTCGGAGATTCAGGCCCTGCCCCTAAAATACCCAGTGTTAATAAAACATCTTTAGGGTAGTTTGAACATAATACTTTAACACATGCTAATTTATTACAGCTACTCATACTTTGTATTTAATACTTTTCATCTTGAGTATTTCAAGGCATTTCACACATGTTAATTAAAGTTCAAGGGTTTTATATACATACATATATATAAAATTAAAAATTTGAGCTGGGGTGATATACAGCTGAAACATGCTTGAGTGGGGGAGGGGGAATAACCTTAAAATATTGGAGTTCTAAGGTTGCAATCTCATATTTAAGAGACAGTAATTTAACATGCCTTTTCATTTCATAGAGACTCTAGAGCATGATTTAGTTATTTTTTTCCCTTCTAGTTGTTTTAATAGTTGGCAAAAGAGTGGATCTGATTACTCATAATTGATAACACTTTTGCATTAAGAAAAACCAAACCATTTGCAGATATCATCCTGAATATAGCTGACCCAATAAAATTAGAGATGTGACTTACCTAATTTGAAATTAAAATTTAAATATTTATTTAAAATTAAATCATTAAAGGACAACTCATATAACTAGCCAGTCTATGCACTATGGAAACTCCACATAACTTAGCATTTCTCCCCACTTCCTTGAGGAAATGTCCTTGAAGCAGTACAGTGCAGTGAGAAAAACACAGAATTCATAGTCAAAGAATTTGTTTGAACCCTGATTTTACTTATCACATCTGAGCAAGTTACCTCTTCTGTTGTGGCCTCAGCTTCTCCTGGAAAATGAGGGGTTTGGACCAGATTGACATTTAATGATCCTTTCAGCTCTATATCTCTTGACTATATGCATTTAACCCTTTCAGAGTATACTTGTCTTCTTGATTAGTCCCTCCAATAAAGGTTTTCCCCCAGATGGAAATGAACTTCTCCTTTCACTATTTTGTTATGCTCCTCATAAGGGTCAGAATCAGCCATGCAGGCTGGTGAAAGATAGGTGGGGAGGGGTGGGAATTGGAATGGGCACAAAGGAAGTATGTTATACTTTGCCAAGAATGGATTTACCCAAGAGAGCTACTGCACTGGGGATAACCTGGTATTTTTTCACTTTTTTCTCAGTGTTGAGGCATGTGAACAAGAATCAGCAATGGCCTACTGCCCTGTAGAAACTGCCTTAGGCCTAGTTCACCTTGATTTATGGAGATGGCTTACTCAGAGAGGCAGTATATTGTACTCCGAAGAGCCCTGGCACTTGAAATCTGGAGACCTGGGTCAAGATGATAATTCAGGCACTACCTTCTACGTGGTATTATTTAAAGGTTTGTAAAACTACAATGCATTATATAAATAGATGGTGTTACAATGATGATAATGGTTATGTTTATGATAATGATTATGCTTATTGCCCAAGGTACAGGATAGAATGGAACTGAGGCTGTTGTGTTTCTCCGTCTAATGCATATCATTGCTTTCAGGATTGTTTTTTATTATATTTCATTTGATAATGAAATTTGATTTTTATAATTTTAATATAAAATAATATATTTATAATGTGTGTTTATAATATTAAATTATAATATTATATATTATATACAGTAATATTAAAATAATTAAATTAATATCTATTTATAATATATAATATTATAAATTATAATATAAATTTTATTATTATTTTTTATTGTTCATGTGAGCTATCATAATAGTCACTTTAAATCTGTGTTGTCCTTTGCTTTCCTGATTTGAACATTTAGTCACATTTAAATGTTTCCTTTATATGCTGACACTACATTTAGCTGATTTAGGATGTTCACTGTGAACAATGATAATTGATCATAAATATTTATTAACTATCTACTATGTGTAAGGTACTGTGCTAAGCTCTGGGAATACAAAAAGAGTCATAAGACAGTCATTGCCCCTCAAGGAGCCTGCAATCTAACGGGGGAGACCATACACAAACAAATATATGCAAAGCAAGCTACATACAGGATAAATAGGAAGGATATCCCACTTCAACTTCAAAGATTTATGAATTCCTCCATGTGGTTGTTCCCTTCACCAGTGCAGATTATCACTCTTCTGCACCTTAAGAGAAAGTCTTTATTTGTAACTGTGGCCAAAAATGAAAAAAAAAATCATTTCATGGTCCACCTTAAGATGAGCATCTCCAATCGTGACAAGGAGGGTCTTTGGACAACAGGCATGAAGTGTGTGTGTCTGGGCCATATTCAATTCAATAAGCATTTATTGAAGATGTTTGTGTCTGGAATTCTGGATGCTAGGGACACAAAGAGAAAAGTTAAAAAAAATCCTTGACCTCAAGGATCTTACATTCTATTGGGGGAAAACATGTATAAAGCCTTCTATATCGAGACAGATAGAATGTAAACTTCTTGAGAGCAGGGATTGTTCCATAATTTATATCTATATCTCCTGTGCCTATCACCATGTGTCACCACCGGTACCATTACCACCATCTCCCTTCAGACACTGCTGGGGACACCTAAAAACCCTGAACCCAAGAACCTTGGGAATAGCAGAGCCCTTCCAAACCACTAGACGTGTTTCTATCCCAGTGCTCACAGCCATCATTGAGGGGAGAAATCTTTGTGGAGAGGGGGTCCACCTTCCTTATCACCACCAGCAACAACTACTGACCAACTACCACTGAAGAGGTTTGCTTACAATTCCCAGAAAAACCTTAAAACTTTTAGACTCACTTATCTCTCTTTGACATCTTTCTTCCCCGGCCCCTAAAAAGAACCTGGTGACTTCAGTTTGTTTACTGGTCCCTTAAAGTTTTAGAAACTGCCTTATTTCCCTTTGAAAGCAAACTTCCCCTTCCAGCTCCCTTCATTATCTATTCTCATTGTCTGTTCAAATCACTCAGACATTCCAAACGGAAATTCTCACCTGGACCCTTTTCCAAATGGTCCACCTCCCCCATCAACTGGCTTTCCCATTGTTTTGCCTTCCTGGCCATTCCCACCCTTAATCCTAGCTAGGCGCCAGTGTTCCATTTACCCCAGCTTGCTGGCCACCCCCATCCAGATCTCCCTAGACCCCTCCTCTCCTCACCCCAAACTGCTTGGCCACTCCTTGGACCCCTCCTCCCGTCACTCCAAACTGCATGTCCCCTCCCCCAGTCTGTACTTAAGACTCACCTTTCCCCTATTCTGAGGCTGAGCTGTTCTCAAGCCTAGAAGCTGAGACCCCTCATGCCCGCCCGTCCTCATGGGCGTCAGGTGGCCTATCCACCCCAGCCCCCACTCAGACACTGAGCTTTCTAGACTGCCTCACGCAGCTCATCCTTGCGAGTGTCACCTGACCACCTTAAATCTCATTTAGATCACTGAAGTTTGGGTTTCTTTGGAGTCTGGCCTATATGCTCATCTTTAATAAACTTTTTCTCTGGCTGGAAGAAGATCTGAGTTGAATTCATTCAGGCAGATCCGCGCCGTGATCTGGGCTTTTTCCCCACCATCTTGGGGTGCCTCTGTGCATCTAAGAGCACCCCAAAACCCCCACCCTCTTCACCACCAACAGGCAGAGGAGTACAGGAGTGGCAGTACTTCCTGGACCTCAATTCCTGCTTTCAGCCCAGCCCTCACAGTTATCTTTTGGGGAGGCAACTCCTGTGGAGAAAGAGCCAACCATCCCCTCCAACTGCCAACCAGTTGCCACAAACAGGGTAGGCAAGCCAGCCTCACTGAAGCTGCAAGGCTGATACACCAAAAGAGACAGGAGAAAGCATGTGCCAAGCAAGTCAAATCTTGACCAATGCTTTGACCACCACCTCCCTTTAGATCCTAATGGTGATAGCTCAGGACCTTGAACTGAAGAGCCTCGGGAATAATGACATTAAATAATGACAATAAAGAAAAGACGTTAACATCTGCTTTACTGTTTATACCCCAAGGATCATGAAACTTTTCCTTTTAACTTATAACTCAAAACTTCCAAGTCTATTGTCTCCTTCATTAGAATATGAGCTCCTTGAGGGCAAGGAATGCCTTTTCTCTCTGTACCCCTAAAGTTTTGTTCCAACAGCCATGAAGGTAGCTGAAGCAGGCACTGGGGGTGCTTAGAGCTTGGTCAGACATCAAAGATGCCAAGGTCATCCATTGCATCCTGGACTATCACCAGTTGTCTTGACTTTTGTCTTGCCACTGGACTTTTATGACTCTGGAAGAGATAGTGAGGCTAATGACTTTGTGCAACTCTGCCTCACTTAAATCCAATTCACACATAAGTCAAGACATCACCCTGTGATGCCACTGATGAAGGACAAACAACAACAAACAGTAAGTGCCTAATAAATATTTCATTCATTCATTTATTCATGTATGGCACATAGTAGGGACTTAGTAAATGCTTGTTGATAGACAGGATCTGACAAAGCTTGCTATCTCTACACTGTGATGAGGAATCAGATTCAGCCCCCTGCCATGAGGGCCTCTCCCTCCTTCTGATTAAAGAGGTGGAGGGTAGACATCAGAGAACTCCTCCGAGATCCTCCATTTAAGGAGGGTGCCCAGGATAGCCATCTCATCATTTCCCACTGGGCTGCAGAACTTCATCATGTTCCTGCCAAGTACAACCCCCACCCCGTTTTAATGCTTCTTTTAAAGTATTGTCTTCCTCTGTTCAATTGTCTTTGAGGCAAGGACTATTTGCCTTTCTCTGTATGCCCAGCCCTTAGTACAGTGCCTGGCACATAGGAGGTACTTAATAAATGTTAACTGACTGGCTTGAGTGGATGAAGGATCTCACAACATTAAAAAAAAGTTACTACCTCATGAATGTATTTTAAGTTAACATTTTTACAATACAATCTTCGTGCAATTATGCAGCACAATACACTTAAATGCACTGGTTCAGACATAGCAAAGTTTTAAGCCAGTTGCACTAACACTTTGATTGAATAAATGTCAATAGCTATCTTGTAAATAAAAAAGGAGATCAATGAAAAAGTCAAGTACTTTATTATCACATACCAGGTATCTTTTGGCTGAAACAAATCTAGCCTTGCCTGATAAGAATCAAGGGGTAAAATTTATTGTCAATTAGGATCAGAAAAGCTTTATGTTTCTATGATGTTTCAAATTTCATGAAAAAGCTGGCAAGTTTCATAAAATAAAATAATTTCTAGAAAACAGAGCAAGAGATATGAATAATGATTTTAAATTCCAGTTTAGATTTTATGACAAAGACAGTGATAGGAAGTGTTGTATGATGGATAGCTCACTGGCCTTAGAAAGTAAAGATGGTCTGGGTTAAAGTCCAGCCTTCCACATGTACTGGATGTGCTAAGCACTGAGGATACAAAAAGAGGCAAAAAGCGGTCTCTGTCCTCAAAGAGCATACAATCTAATGGGGGAGATAAAAAAATAAACAAGGATAGTTGACATGCAGGATAAATTGGAAAATATTAGAAATATTAAATATTATATATTACATTATATATTATTAATTATATATAGTTATATATTACATATAACATTATATAATATATTATAATATATTAATATTGGAGAGATTTGGTGAGAAGTCTTTCTGTAAAGATTTTAGTGGGATTTAAAGGAAGCCAAGGAAGGCAGTAGGGAGAGATGAGGAGAGAACGTTCTAGGCATAAGGGACAGCCTGAAAAAATGCCCAGAGAAGAGAGATAGGGTGTTAGTGTGTCTTTTTTATGGAACATCAAGGCCAGTGTCACTGGATCAAAGATTATGTGGTGGGAATAAGCTACAAAAAGACTGGAAAGGTAGGTGGAAATTAGATTATGAAAGGCTTTGAGCATCAAGCAGAGAATTTTGTATTTCATCCTGGAGGTATTAGGGAGACTCAGGATTTTACTGAGTGGGAAGAAGGGCAGGGGGTGGGGGGGGGAGTGGGTGGGTGTGACCTGGTCAGACCTGTGCTTTAGGAAAATCCCTATACTGGCTGAATGGAGGGTGTATTGGAGTGATAAAAGTAACATGGAAGAGGCAATGGGGAGTAAGAAGTACTCCAGCTCCTTTTTGTATTTTGTATGAACTTTTAAAAATGTGCATGTTATTTATTCCCATTAAAATGTGAGCCCTTTGGGGACAGGGAATGGTTTTATGTTTTTGCTTTTGTTTGTGCTTAGCAAAATGCCTGACAAATAGTAAGCTTAATAAACGCTTATCGATTTCTTGATTGATTGCCTGAACATTCCTCAGTTCAGATAGCAGGGATAATTACAGACAAAAAGGTCTTGCGCAAGTATGGGACAGAATCAATATCCAAACAAGCCAAGATAAAGATGAGTTGTGGAACTAAAAGAACCATTGTTGAAATTGGAATCAAGTTCGAAAACCAGTCATTATAGCATGGTCTCAATTGGGGCTAGCGAGGGGCAAAGCCTAGAGTCCAGTCTGTGATAAGCGGGTGATTAGTATACATGAGACAGAAGTAGAGAAAGAATTAGCTCAGCTTGCCCCACTCGCTTGGTTGGTGGGTGTCTGTTATGTCTGATTTATCCTGTGAGCCCTGATTGATATCTTCTGAACTTTTTTTTTCTTTCAGAGAGAAGACTCCCACCAGGACCACTGCAGTGAGGGAGGGACGTCCAAAATGCAATGATTTGTGACTTCGACTTAAAGGAGGGTCCCTCAAACAGCTGACCTATTCTTCACAACAGCTGGACTGGGATCAGAAATAAGAGTGTAAATCCAAATGGAGGGAGTTGGTGATTAACAGTCAAGCCGCTTGGCCTCATAGCTCTGTGCCTGTTACTACCGCTGCTTGCTGTGTGCACATAAAGGTCAGTCAGTGCCTTTCCTGTAATTACCAGGCTGTGCAAGCTCATTTACAGGAGATTGTAAGGAATTATTATTCTCTATAATCCTGATCCTCATGCATGTATTTCTCTGAAATGACCTTTTTCCCTCCAATTATAACCAAATATTAATTACTAGAAATAATATTTAAATGTTATGTTAGTGGTAGGATTAGTTGAAGTTTAATAATTCCTGCTCTGGATTAGTCAATACCATGTATCGACCATAGCTCACCAAGGTCTGATAAAGTAAGAACTGATGTACTAGGCTCATATTATTTCACTAAATTTTGAGCTTTTTTTTTTTTTTTACCTAAGGAAGAATACCAGAGGAAGGGAATCTCATATTTTTATGAAATGTCATCAGCTCATTACAGATTTGGAAAGATATTTAGTCCCAAGATAAATTGCAGCTCTTCTAATTATGGGGAAAATGACTAGTGTTCATGAGAAGTTGCATGAGTTGAATTTTTGGAAATTGAGCATTTTACATATCATTAAAGGAGTTCATTTTCTCATAGGGTTAAAGCTGTAAGGGTCTTTAGAAGTTATCTAGTCCAAATACCTCATTTCACAGATGAGCAAACCAAGGACCAGGGAAGTTAAATGTTTTGTTTAAGGTCACACAGGTAGTAGTGACAGAATCAGGATTCAAACACAGATCTTTTGACTCTAATGCAGCATTTTATTTAATGCATGTATGCCTTCTTGAAAAGTAATCTATTGTCTTTGATTACCTTTTCAAAGCATTTTTTTCAGTTAAGAATAATCTATCTTCTTTCCTTTCTACCTCCCTCCTTATATGCATAGTCAAGCAAAATAAATTCCCACATTGGCCATGTCCAAACATATGACTCATTCTTCATGATGATTTCATCATCCTTCTATTAAGAGGGGGGTGACATGCTTCATCATCAGCCTTCTCGAATCATAATTGGCCTTGTCATTCATCAGAGTCTTTCAGATCCATTTATCTCTACAGCATTATAGTTATTTTATAAAAAAAAAATCATTCTTATGGGGTTGTTTTGCTTCACTTTGTGTAACTTCTGACAGATCTTCCAAACTTTCTCTGAAACCATCCTTTTCACTGTTTTTTATAGCACAATATTATTCTATTATATTCATATATCACAATTTATTTAGACATTCTCAAATTGATGGACACCTCCTTAGTTTCCACTTCTTTGTTACTGAAAAAAAAATATTGCTCTAAATAATTTTGTCATATGGTTTCTTTTCCCTGATTTACTTTTTAAGAAAAGTGTGGATCACTTAGTGGGGGAAAAAAAACAAAACAAAACAAAAACCCCACAAAAACAAAACAAAACAAAACATTAGATTGGAAGACAGAACACTGAGGTTCTAGATCTCTGCTCATCCACAAAGTAAATAAGTTACTGCGTCCTCTGGGCCTGGACTCTTCTGTAGAATAAAGAAAGCGGGTTAGTTGATCTCTAAGCTTCTGCTCATGCTAAGATTCTGTGAAAAAAAAAAGATAAATCTAAGTTTTGGTATATTAAGTGGGTTTGGAAGTGATATTCTTACACTAGAGATACTAACAGAAAACTTCAGTGCAGTTTTAAGCTTTGACATTTAAGCTTTGATCATTTAAGCTTTGACAAACATGAAATATATCTAGGAGGTTAGCATTGTTTTAATTTTTCTGCAGCTGTATTTGGATAGGCCAAAAGAGCTAATGAAAACATATACTAAGGCATGGAGTGATTACACTGTGCCTTGGTGAGGAGATGTATTCATAGAAATGAAACTAGATCTCTGAACTATTTCCCAATAACAAATTCAAATAATTTTGTAGTCATATTGCTTTATGAAATAGGGGTTTCAGAAGACAATGGTAGATTTGGGATGTGAATAGCTAGTTTGGAAGATGTTGCCTGAAAACAAGACAGGACAAAATATATTTGTGTACACATATACACATATATTTCTATACACACATGCACATAATTTGATCAAGAAGGCTTTAACTTGAAAGGAAAAGGAAGAAGAAAAAAAACTACCTATGCATATATACCACTAGAAAATCAGCAATACATCATAAGGAGAAGAAAATCAGTAGAGGTACCTGTTAATTTAGAAGAGATGACATTCAAAAAAAGACAGCAATAAAACCCTTAGACGTGTACACAAAGGAATAAAGAACAAGCTATGAGCAAGGAATGCAAGGAAGCAAATTTTATTTCGTATGTATCACTAAGGCTTGCTAAGATAGGAGTTATTGGAATATGATTTTGAAAAAGTATGTTATTCAAAATAAGTAGAATAGATAAAGAGTGCAAGTAGTATTGTATATTTAAAATCTGTGCCATGAAATCTAGAAACCAGAAAAGAAAAGCATGGCGGAGAGCACTTGAGTAAAGAGAGAAACAGAATCAATATTGTTGAAGGAGTATATCATAGATCATAGGTGTCAAACACTTCCTAGAGAACAAGACTAAAATGTCATTGGGAAATGTCAAACAAAATAAATACAAATACAGTACAGCACAGATAATGTTACTTTGTAGTTTTCTAAGTCAATATGTAGCAGACATTTGTTTTTCATTTGAGTTTGACTCCACTGCTATAGACCACCTGTACAGAGTAAGAAATAGATGTGGAGTTTAGGAATCAGATGGTACAGAAAGAGGATATAGTAGTGATTGGAGATTTTAAATCTCATGCTATCTGCTAGAACATTCCTCGTATTAAAAGAAGAATAGCATTAATAAATTCTTCTCTTGCCTAAGTGATAATTTCATCTTCTAAAAGGTGGAGGGAGTAACAAGAGTAGCTATTCTGTACCTAATTAAATAAGAAGAAACTGGCTACTGAAGTATAAAATGTGAGAACCATAGAAACAAATTACCACCCCATTTTCAAATGCATGGTTGTAAAGGAAAAGAAGGCTGGGAATAATTGGGCATGCAGCCCAGAGGACATTGGCAGGTTGCCGTAGCCTAAAACTTTGCAGATGTCATCAGCTGAAAAAGGATCGGAAGCTCTCAAGAATGAAAATCTAAAGATGCAAACAATAATTATAATATGGAGGATAATGGGGGACCTATTTAAAAAATAATTGTGGGTGCACTGAGTGAAAGCTTGGGATGTGCCAGACTTGCTGCCTAAGCAAGTAAGACAGTGCCTCCCCTCAAGAAACTTATATTCTAAAAGGGGAAGACAAAATACATAAAGGGAGGTTAGAGTTGGAAAGTTGGTTGGGAGAGGGGAAGCAAGGGTAGATGTATAGACATGGTTTGGAAATGGCCCAGAAGTGGTATGGTACTGGTAAGGCACAGGTAAGGAACAAGTAACTGAGCTTTAGAGAGGTTAAGTGATTTGCTTGACATCACTCAGTTAGTAAATGATGTAGAGAGGAATGAAACCCATATGTCCTGACTACTATTGACAATGTCCTTTAATGTCCCTTTTCATTACACCATGTTTTCCCAGGATGGATAACACTATCTTCTTCTTAAGTAATTTTCAAAGTCCATACCTGATCTTATTATTAACCTCCTCTTTTTCAAGTATATTCCAATTTTTAAAGACCATCTTTTTTACTTGTCTTTCCTTTCTCTTACAAGAATGTAAGCATTCCCTTTGGTCTGTGACAGATAGTCTACCATAATAAATGCTGTGGTCTTGGGAGAGCCAGAGGGTTCAGGCCAGCATGGGAAAGTCTGAATTGTTAATCTTTAGGTGGCAAAAGAAAAGGACCTATATGTTCTAAAATATTTATGGCAGCTCTCTTTGTGGTGGCAAAGAACTGGAAATTATGGGAATACCTGCTAATTTGGGAATGGCTGAATAAGTTGTGGTATATGATTGTGATGAAATACTACTGTGCTTTAAGAAATGATGAGCTTGATGGTCTTAGAAAAACATGGACAGACTTGCATGAAATAATGCAGAGCAAAATGAGCAGAACCAAGAGAACATTGTATCTAGTAAAAGTAGTATTGTTTTAAGAATAACTGAGTGAATAAGTCATTCTGACTATTATAAATACCCAAATTAACTTCAAAGGACATATGAAAAAAGCCATTATCTACATCCAGAAAAAGAACTGATAAATAGAAGTATGTATAGAATGATTTTACATATATATCCATATTTGTGTCTAATGGGAGTCATCTCTCTAGGATGGAGGGGATGAAAAAAAGGAAAAGAAAAGAAATCTATATGACAATTTTATTATATATTTAAAAGGAATAGCAAGTTGTACATAAGAGATTGGCAGTTTCATGTGCAATCATTTAAAAAAATTATACTATGTTATGCAAATGTTTGTTTTATTCCATAAATTAAAAATAAAATTGAAAAACAATCTTTCATTTATGTGGGCCAAGAAATAAGAGGTAGGTCTTGTGCATCAGGAGGGCCAATTACAGGAGTGACAAGCAAGAAGTACAAACCAAACAGGGCACAAAATACTTAACAACAATTTTTTAAAAAATTTTTAAATTTATTGACTTAATAGAATTAACCATATAACATTTCATATAAAACACTTTTAGTAACAAATTGTTAGTGGGATCCAAAATGCAAGTAGGAAATTCAGTTCAAGGTCACATTAAAGTTTCAAGAAAGTCAGTATTTCACAAGGCCTAAGTTTGGACAAGAAAATCATCCGCTACTTGTCATGCTTAATAGAGTTTGTCTTTTGCAAAGCACAGTGATGTCCTTTCAAGTCCAGGGAGGTGGTTGGTTGTTGTCCTTCGTTCTCAAAGAAGACCAACATAACATCACTATGCTAGAGTGAAGTTTCAGTGTGTCTGACTCTGGCTGATCAGAGCAATACGAGCTCAGAATGTCCTACCACAGGTGGGGCATGAATAGTTCATGTGAATATTGGGGTGGATTCTTTAAATTTGCACATCTCACGTTTCTTTTGAGCGACTTCAATTCTGCTTTGCTCATAGAGGACAGCACCTTCTCTGATGTGGGCATGCCATGCTGAGTGGTCCTGTGACAGTTTCTCCCATGTCACACAATAAATTCCAAAGTTCTTTTTTTAATTGACTACTAATTTTAATGAATAAATGACAATGATTATTTTACTGTAAGTGTGTGGAAGTTTGCTTAATAGAGAATTCTGGTCAGTTGCATATCATGTACTATGGAATGTCAGGCTATAGTCTATTAAAAATCATTTGGGCAACTTCAGACAGATAGCAGTATAATCAGCATAAAAAGTGATCCCCCCCCCTTTCTTTGTCTAAGAATGGTATTTATGTCTTTTGAACTTCTGCTAGGTTGTAATCTTAGCAATCAGTTACATTTTCCTCCTGGTGAATAAACCAGGACCATCTAAACATATCCTGAATATGATTAGTTACATATGACCTATTATAATTTCATTAAGCATTCTTTTCTATCTGCTGCTTAAGTAACAAATACATTCTTTTATGTAGCTGCCAATTAAACATGTATATTTTATATTTTAATTGGCTAAGAATAAGTTAAGCAGTCATTGTCCTTTATACTCAAAGAGGACCAAAGTGACATCATGTTGTTAATTGTCGCAATTTTAGAAGTGTAGACAATTTCCATGATCCAAGTACATAGGTCTCTGAAACTGATGAAATATCTAATGACTCTAATCAATGCAGATCATCTGATCATTTGTTATGTAAGTCCAATTCCAAAGTTCTGAAGAGAGACCTTGAGACTGTCCTTGTATCACTTCTTCTGACCACCATGTGAATGCCTGCCCTGTATGAGTTCTCCATAAAATAGTCTTTTTGACAAGCATACATTTTGCATTCAAACAATGTGGCCAGCGCATTGGAGTTGTGCTCTCTGAAGCAGAGTCTGAATGCTTGGCAGTTGAGTTCGAGAAATGACCTTAGTGCCTGTCATCTTCTCCTGCCAGGTGATCTTCAGAATCTTCCTAAGACAATTCAAACGGAAGCACTTCGGTTTCTTGGCATAGCGCTGGTTTCATGTTTCACAGGCATGCAACAATGAGGTAATGCTAACTGAAACCTCCTAATTCCACTATATGCACTTCATCTATGGACAATTCCCTATTTCTCCAGGCATTTCTGACACTGGGCACTTTGATGTCAAATGAAACTCTTTTAAGGTCTGACAGGGGTGGCCTTGTTCCAGAGGGATGTGCTAACTTAAAGCTAAGTTGAGTGTCAATGACATATTCTTCATATCATGACATGATAAAGATGACCTTCCTGAAGTCAAAGAGGTGAGAGATGGGGAGAGGATGATTCGCTTATTCTTTTCATAAATTTCCAAAATAGAACATTTATTTTCGATGTACTAAGGCTACTCTGGCCAAGGATTAAAAAGTGGGGTACTCGTAAATCTTAACTCTGAAAACCTAAGCCTCAGCAAGAGTTCAGAGAGTTAGTACAGCCACTTCAGTAAACTGTGGAGATGTATATTTTTTAATTACCTAATTCCTTGGCCTGAACTCACATATGCAAATTAGAGCTAATTAGAATCACGAGACTTAAATACTGCCTGCTGAGCACTGCTGTGTGTTTTATTAAATATCCACATGCTGACACCAGGTACAAAGAAGTACACTCAGCTGACTTCAGTGAATTACCAAAGCTTGCCTATGTAACTATCAGAGAAACACTCACCAAATAGTTAATTGGTTAGATCTATTTTCATTGTCCAAAAGGAAGGAATCAGTGATTGTTCAGTGGATTAGGCCTTGGAGTATTTCAGTAGATCAGTGAAAGATGTTTCCAGAATGGAGAACTGCAACAGTTCTTACATGACAGGTTCTCCCCACTCAGAGAGCCACAATCCAAGCCTTTATCACATCTCTCTTAGACTACTGTAATAGTCTAGTTGGTCTCCCTGCCCTCAAGCTCTCTCCTCTCCAATCCTCCCACATTTGGGCTGAGGTGATATTCCTACAACACAATTGAGACCATGTCACTCCCCTTCTCAAGAAGCTTTAACCTCTCCTGATTGCCTCTAGTACCATAATGCTGTTAAAACATTCAGCATTTCAAGCTGATTATACATGACCATTCCTCATGCACTTTTAATTCCAGCCAAACTGGCCTGCCTTATTATGGTTCTGCTACACAATTTTCCATCACCTATCTTTGAGCTTTGCATAAGTTTTCTTCCATTTCTAAAATGTTCTCCCTCCTTACCTCTGCCTTTAGGAGTCCTTAGCTTTCTTACGGGTCACTTCAAGCACAAACCTACTGAACTCTGAGTCCTCACTGTGGCTTGGGACTACCCTCAATTATCAAGGGTTATGTCAGCAGAGCCTAAGCACTAGACAGTGCTGCATATTGAAAAGTCTTCACATATATTCCCGACAATCAAATCTATCTATTTTCTGAGGATTGCCGTAGCAAAGTACAAAAAGGCTCTTGACCAATAATCTAACCATTTGGAGATGAATTCTTTGGCCAAGGCAATCCATAAAATAAAGAAAAATAAAAATTGCCTTGAGTCCTGTGTTACTCCTTTCTACTTCTCCAGTGACAGTGGAACAGTGGGGTGGGGGGAGGGTGGGAAGGAGCCTAAAGCTGCAATGAATCACATGGATTTAAAATTATCTATGAATTTTAATTTGATTAGAGGCACTCCAAATGTGAGAGTCTAATCCAATGATCAACTACTGGTCATAATACTAGAGGAACTTAATCATATCAGTCTCACCATTTGCAGCACAAAATGAAACCATAAGACAGAAGAAGGTTGCATCTAAGTGAAAGAGTAGCTCACAGATTCTCTGTGAAGAGGCAAATGAAGAAATTAGCAGAATTTGTCCCATTTCATGGGGCATTTTGGTTATCTCATATTGCTGAGTGCATAGAAAACACAGGCAAAAAGACTGCTGTAAAAATAATTGTACTAATTCTTCAAACCGTATTGCAGAGAATGCCCGAATACAGAAATTCTACCAAGAACTTGATGAGGTCCCCCAGGTTAAACTAACCTTGGCTTTGATGAAGAGGAAGCATAGAAGAGTAGATAGAGAGCTTGATGTAAACAGGGGTAGACTGTCAAGGACTCTCTCTGGCACTTAATGTTGTATGATTCTGGGCACTTAATCTCTCAACCCCCCAGCAACCCTTTAAGACTCTAAAGTTCAGAGTATTGGTAGTGGGAAATTACATCACCAGGAGCTCCACATCCTGATAAAATCACAGTTCTATATCTAACTTTGACTAACCTCCTACAATTCCTCTCACCCCTCCCCCAAAAAAACACCTTTAACACTAAATGACATAAATACAAAGATAGGAATATGTAAGGAGAGTGGGAGATGGGGAAAGCAAGAGAATAAATATTTATTAAGTACCTACTAAGTGCTAGGCACAGTGCTAGTATAAATATTGTCTTATTTGATCCTCACAACAATCCTGTGGCATTATCCAAATTTTACAGTTGAGGAAACTAAGGCAGACAGAATACATAGAATATACTCCTCCTGCACAATACCGTAACATTGTATGTATAAACCTGGAATTTTATGTGCATTGTTATGTGCACATGTCTAATTGTTTCACTGGATGAAAAATTAGCATAGACAGAAAAGATTGAGAGAAAGGCAAATAAAATGATCAAGAGATTTTTGTATAAGCATAGACTAAAAATATAGGAGTCAAGATGGAGGTGGGATATGTTCCAAGTCTTTAAATCATTATGGTTACTGTTTATGATTGCTATGGAGGATAATAAGTGTGGTGGCACAAAGAGCTCTTCAGCTAAAGGGTACATGGAGGAAACTGTGGGAGTGAGTCATAGCCATACTCAGCCAGGCTTCAAGAATTCCATGTAGCTACAGATTGGGGAGTGTAGCAAATTGAAATTCTCTTTTCTATCCAATATCCTGATCTTCACGTGGAACCAAATTCTCAATTACTCAATCCCACACTTTGACTTCTGCTAGCTCAGACTTACAGAGAGAGGAAAAAAAATTGAGAGATAGAGTGCTTATTCATGATCCATATTTTCCAGAGGCAGCTAGGTTCTTCTCCTGCCTTGTTTCACATCCTTCAGACATCTTCCCCCACTATTTTCTTCTCTTCTCAAATCTTGTATGAAGTACAAGATTCTCTTCTCCAAGACAACCCTTTTACCTGTACCCTTTGTCCTATCCCATCCTATATTCTCTAGAACACTACCCTTTCTAGAACACTACCCTATTCTCTTATCTACAAATTACCCCTACCTAGTGACCCCTTTCTTGCTGCATACAAACACATCCATGTCTTCCCCATCCTTAAAATACAAAACAAAACAAACCAATAACAACAACAAAAACCCTTCACTTGATTCCTAACTTCTGTGCCTTCATTTCATCTCCCTCCACTCTCTTCTAAACCTTCCACAATTTGGCTTGTAATCTTTCATCACTCAACTGAAACCATTCTGTCCAAAGTAACCAATGACCTCAAGTATAAAGGCCTTTTCTCGGTTTTCATCCTTTGTGATCTCCCTGAAGCATGTGACCTTGTGGATCACCCTCTCCTCTTGGACATTCTCTCTTTTCTAGGTTTTCATGATATTATTCTTTCTTCCTAACTGTTTGATGATTCCTTCTCAATTTTTCTTGTTCAGTCATCATCCATATCATCATACCAAGGCTCTGTCCTAGGCTCTCTTCTCTTTTTGGTCTTTATTATAACATTGAGTGATCTCATTAGCTCCTATAAGTTCAACTACTTGCAGATGATTCTCAAATCTATATATCTAGCCCTAATATCTCCCTTGAAATTCAGTCCTATATCACCAACTATCTTGCTTTTACTTAATTAAATGTTAATTTTTCCAATCAACAAAAATCCACCTTCTTCTCCCTCCCCAATCCAATTGAAAATGAAAGAAAAACAAATCCCCATTATAAACACATGTAATCAAATAAAGCAAATTTCTACATTAGCTATGTCCAAAAGACTATATATCTATATGTTTTTGTGTATACATTTTATATATAGGCACACAAATAGGCATATAAGTATACATATATACACATATATATGTATAATTCTACATTCTGAGTCTTCCACCTCTCTGTAGGAGGTGGTATTTCATTATTAGTCCTCTGGAACTATTGTTAGTCATTATGTTGATCAGAGCTCCTAAGTCTTTCAAAGTTATTTCTCTTTACAAAATGTTTTAATTGTATGAATTGTGCCCCTGGTTCTTTTCACTTCACTGTCCATAAGTTTGTACAAGTCTTCCCAGGTTTCTCTAAAACCCCCTCATCACTGTTTATAGTGCAATACTATTAGATTACATTTATATACCATAACTTATTCAGCCATTTCCCAATTAATGAGCATTCCCATTGTTACCTAAGAGAGATATGAATATTTTTGTACATTCTTTAGCCTTTGCATTCCCAATAAATGTTTATTGAATTTTTTATAGCAACAGTAATAATGAAAATATTCTATTACTGAAAGGAAGCACAACATAATGAATAAAAGGCCAAGAATGGGGTAGGAAAGACCTGGGTTTGGGTCTTTTTTCTGACACATGTTGACTCTCATTCAACCTCTCAGTGTCCCACAGCAATTCTCTAAATGATCAGGTAACAAATGAGTTCCTGATATGTATCGGTGAAGGGGAATTTCTGCTTAGGGAGTTCCCCATCCCACATGAAATTCTAGGTCAGGGCAAAAAGAAAAATCTAATATTATCTTCTAGGATAGCAGATGAGGGGAAAAACTTTTTTGAAAAGGAGGACTTGAAATCATCTGGTACTTTTTATTTTTTATTCCAGTTATTTCCATTACTTTTCCCCTCAGAGTGATCCCCCCACCATTGGTATGTCTGAAAAATACCCTCAAAATAACTGTGAATAATTACATTGTAAGGACTTACCCTTCTCCTTTCTCCATTGCCAAAAGCCCAAAAAATAATTTGTAATGGTGTATTAATAGCAGTAGATGGTATGATAACTAATCAGAGGGAAAAGGCAGAGCAATTCAACTTTTGTCTTGGTTTTATCTGAAAGGAGAATGACATTAACAATAGAAATAACAGAAAAGAAAAGTCCACCGCAGGGAGTTGAAACTTAAAATAAGAAAGGAGGAGATAAGAGAACACTTAGTCTTTGATGAAGTCAAGTCACCCAGCCCAGATGAAGTACATCCTCAAGTCCTGAAAGAACCGAAGAGTAATTGATGAGCCTCAGTCAGTGCTATTTGAAAGATCATGGAAAATAAAAGTGACATCATGAGATTGGAGAAAAAATGTCCCAATTTTTAAAAAATGAAAGAGAACAGAATTTGTGAACTATAAGTTAGTGATATTTAATTCAATTTCCGCTAAAAAATTCAGAGCAGATTATCAAAGAAATATATGCTAATCATCTAGAAAGGGAAACAGTGATTCTAAAGAACTAACTTGGATTCATCAAGAACAGATCATGCCAAACTAACCTCAAATCATTTATTGATAGGATTACTAACCTAACAATGGAGGAGAAATTATGTTTACCTGAATTTTTAGCAAAGCTTTTGCTAAAGTATCACACTTGTGGAAAAGGTAGAGAGATGTGGATTAGATAATAATGCAAAAAGATGAATTCACAACTGGTTGGATGCTCAGATTCAAGAGTAGTTGTTAATAGTTCAATGTCAATGTGGCAGGAGGTCTTCAGGGGACTACATAAGGCATCGATGTTTAGCCCTTTGCTACATAACATTTTTTCCATGACTTTCCATGCCTTCAGATTTGCAAGACACAAAACTGTAGGATATTGTTAGCACACTGGTTGACAGATTGCAGAAGAATCTTGATAGGCTAGTGCATTGGACTGAATTTAATAAGATAAGATTCAATAAAAGAGATGAGAGAAGAGGGAGAGGAGAAGTGAAACAAAGAGAAGAGAAGAGAAGTAATGTCAGAGATGACTTTTTGGAGGTGGTGGAATATGAGTTGGTTCTTGAAGGAATGTCCAGACTTCAACAGATGGAGCTGAAGGAAAGTCTAGTCTAGGCTTGGGCAATGATATAAGCAAAGATAGGAAAGGTCAGAAAGAGAGCAGGGGTAGGTGATAGTCTAGCTTGGCTAAGACGAAGACGTCATAAAAGGAACAATACTGAATCAGCCCGGACAGGCTGACAATGAACCTTTTGTCTGTCATAAAGGACCAGAGTACCAGAGTAGTTAAGTTCAGAGAAGATCATGAGTAGATTTTCACCAACTCCCCCTGAAAGCATACAATTATAAAACTCAAAGATTGAACAACTTTATTTATAGTTCAAAGAAAACAAATAAAGTAGACAACATAGCTCATGGAAAATCATATTACCTATCTAGGAACAATAGTTGCCAGAGGTCAGTAAAGACAGTCATTTATAGTCATCCCATGAATAGGCATCCAAGTAGACATTGCCTCAAATGTGGCTTCTCAGGATGTATCTCCTATTGTGTTTTTCCACAGGCACATCGAGTACACAGGGTTGCTTTGCTTAATCATCTCTTCTTGAAGTTCCTCAACTCTCCTGCAAAGAAGTTCTCTGACTATAGTTGTTTACCTAAAGCTTCTCATATCATCATTTGAAGTTCTCAGCAGCCACTATGGCTCCTCCCGCAGCTCCCCATGGCATCCAGCAGGTGGTATCCTCTGTCTTCCTCTGCAGCTCTCAACCAGCAGTATCCTAGTACTATATTGAAGCTCCATAAGTAAAACTTCCCCTCTGTTCCATAGCTGGAGGAAGGACAAAATTCCCAAAAGGTACCTCCTGCCCACACCAGCTTTTCCCATATATCAAATAGTTAAGTAGAGCCCCACCATTCCACACCTACCCACCACCACCACAATGGGCTAGTATCCAACTGGAACCAACTCAGCTGCTTTATTTAAATTACCCAAGTCTCTTTCTCTTGGATATCCAAGGCAGGGGGATGGGATGAGGTAAGAGCTCAGCACCACTCTGTCACTGATGAAATAAAGAAGAGAAAATGCTGCTGTCCTGACTATACATGAGATACATAGTAGAAATGCTGAGCTGGAATGTATGCTAACTGAAGGTCAGGAAGTTAAGTAATTTATAGTCAGTTAGTGGTAAAGCTATTACTGGAACTCAAGATTTGACTCCAAAGCCAGTGCTCTTTCCATCACATCATCTTGCCTTTACTTAGACAGATCTCATTGCTAAATAGAGAAGGTGGCTAAGTGATAGAATTTTTGGATAATGTAGAGTGATATAAACAATGTAGACGATGTAGAGCAGTGAAAGAGTATTGTCTTGTAGTCATAAGACCAGCCCCAACACATTGTAGAAGTGTCACCCTGAAAAAATCAAGAGAGTTGTTTTCCATCATATCCAATTCTTTGTGAGACCATATTTGGAGTTTACTTATCAAAGATATGAGAGTGGTTCGCCATTTCCTTCTCTGGCTCATTTTATGGATGAGGAAACTGAGGCAAATAGGGTGAAGTGACTTGTCCAGGGTTTCACAACTAATTAATGCCTGAGGCAAGATTTGAACTCAAGTGTTCCTGATTCCAGGCCTGGTGCTCTATCCACTGCTATGGTAAAAAAAGAATAAGCTTCTCTAAACCTTAGCTTCTCTACCTATAAAAATGGCAAGAGTAAAAATAATACTATGTATCTTAGAAGATTATTGTGAGAAAGTGCCTTGTAAACCATTATTTGTTACAGTGGAAAAACCACTGGATCTGGCATCAAAGGACCTGAGTTAGGATCTCAGTTCAGCTGCTATATTTCCCTTACCTGTATGATTTAGGGTAAGCCACTTTCCATCTCTGTGTCTTAGTTTCCTCACCTTTAAAATGGGGAAGTTGAACTTGGTGACCTCTAAGTTCTCTTCAAGCCCCAAAGTTATGCTTCTATGAAATGGTATAAATGTGAGCAATTTGTGGAGTGCCAGGAAGAGCTAAAAAACAATCTCTCTGTCTGGAATTCTACCATTTCATATTAATCTCTTTGGATCTTAGAAGTTTTTTCAGCTTGTACTATGAAGGGTCAAAAATTTAAACCCATAACATATTGGATAAAAAGGGGGAGATTTGTCAATAACACTGAGAGCAAGATGAGTCTGAGCGAAGTACCTAGGATTCTCCTTTCCCATTTTGGCCTGGGACTGACTCTGTGTGCAACCATATATATGTAAAAAAAGCCTTGCCTTCACTTTCAAAAAGTTACGTAAGTTCAGCTTAACTTACCAAACAAAATTACTGCTTTTTTTCCCAGAATATTCCAATACAGAACATTCCAAATACATAATTTACTTCCCTCCCTCCTTAATGATCTATAGTCACGTGCTGTTCTGAAACCTTCATTAAATACTTTACAGTTTCATTATTGCCAAATTGAATAGAAATTGGATTGAATGACTCACTCTTTGCATTGAGTAATTATGTCATTTTGGGCAGCAAGAACATTGATAGGATCATAAGTGTAAGATCTGGGAGGCACTTTGGAGATAATTGAGTCCCACCCCATCGTTTTACAGATTAGAAAACCTGAGGCCCAGGGATGGGACATGACTTATGAAAAGTCACACAGCTAGTAAGTAGAAGAGCTAGAATTCAAATCCAGGGCTTCTAACTTAGAAGCTAATACAGGGCAATAGAAAGAGGACTGGATTTGGAATCAAAAGAACTGGGTTCAAATTCCAACACTTACTACCTGTATGACTTTGACAAGCCACTCAACTTCTGTTAACTTCAATTTATTCTTTTGTAAAATGAGAGCGTTGGTTAGGATGACTTGTAAGGTTCTTTCTAGCTCTAAATCTATGATTGTGTAACTCAAAATCTTGATTCCTCCCACAATGTGCATGATCCTCATACAGAATGTCCAACCCTATTGTGCTATAAGAAATGATGAGTAGGTGGACTTCAAGAAAATAGGGAAAGAGTTATATGAACTGATCTGAGTGAAGTGAGCAGAACCAGGAGAACATTGTACACAGTAACGGCTGCATTATATGATGACTAACTTTGATAAATTTATCTCTTTTTAGCAATGCGAAGATCTAAGACAACTCCAAAAGATTCATGATGGAAAATGCTGTCCACATCCAGAAAAAGAACTATGGAGTCTGAATGCAGATAGAAGCATATTATTTGCTTTCTCCCTCTCTCTCTTTTTTTGTTTCTTCTTTCTTGTGGTTTCTCCCATTGGTTCTAATTCTTCTTTACAACATGACTAATGTGAAAATAGGTTTAATATGAATGTATATGTTGAGCTATGCATATATCAATTTACATGCCATTTTGGGGTGAGGGAGAGGAGAGAAAGGGAGAAAATTCAGAACTCAAAATCTTATGAAAGTGAATGTTGAAAACTAAAAATAAATATTTTTTTAAAAAATGTAAAGTATTGATAAAAAAAAAGAATGTCCAATCCTTTCATTGGTTACCCAAAAGGCACCCAGTAGTTGCAAGAGCCTAAAGCATGTGTTAAGGAGATGACATCATTGCTGTCCCCAAGAAACTGAAATTCTACCAAAATATGTAGGAACAATATGCACATAGTATGTATACAAGAATGAAAAAATTCATTGAGAGGAAACAATGGATTAGGGTTTGTGTTAGAAACCCTCCTGGAAGACAGGAAGCTTATGGTATAAAACTAATAATTAATAAATAGCTAGACATTAAAGAAGGAAGGTGTATAGCATAAGAGTCAGTAATTCGAAGGGTTTTGCTCCATGTGCAGTAGCTTGGGCAAAGCAGGAGAGTGAGTTCTAGATACAAGGACCCAGCTAAAGACTATGTAATACCTATTCATTAAATACTACGTGCAAGGATCTGTGCTTTGTACTATGAGAAATAAAAATCAGAACAGGTCAGTGCCAGCCATCAAGGAGTAAGAGAAGCCATAAGATCATAAGATTTAGAGCTGAAAGGAACCTTAGGAAATATATTGTTCAACCTCCTCATTTTACTAAAAATGAATTGATGGCCAGAGAGATTAACATAGTCATCCCAGTGTCACATGACTAGTAAGCAGCAGAACCAGGATTTGAATGGAGATCGATTGACTCCCAGTAAATCATTCCCCTAAACAACAATAACAACAGCAGTAGCAGCAGCAGCAGCAGCAGCATTTATCTAGTGCTTTAAGGTATACAATCCTTTATAGTTTTATCTCATTTGATCCTCACAATAGCCCTGGGAAGTGAATGCTATTATCCCCATTTTACAGATGAAGAAACGGAGGCTGAGAGAGGTTAAGTGACATACTCAGAGTCACACAGCTAATAGGTGTCTGAGTCAGGATTTGAATTCAGGTCTTTCTGATTCCAAGTACAACGCTCTCTCTATCCACTATGCTACCTAGTGGCCTATTTGTATCACTAATGCTAAGGACTGAATGTAGTCAATGTTTTCAATCCAAAAGAATTTATTACTGTTGAGATCAGAGAATGATCTTTGTCTTTTCCAGGCTAACCATCCCTAGTGTCTGATCCTTATACAGAATGGTTTTCAGAGCCCTTACTATCCTGTTGCCTTCCTTTCAATGCGGTCCAATTTTGAAATGCCATACATGAGACTTGACACCTGGAACTGAACACAGTACTTTGGATAAGGCCTCAACTGAGGGAAGGACAGTGGCTCTGTCACCTTTCTACTTTCCATCCCTATCATTTTCCTTCTACTAACATACCTAAAATTACATTTGTTCATCATTGCACGGTGAACTTCCAGTCCACTACTGTTAAAGCCCTAGGGTAATTTTCACACGAATTGTTGTCTGGTGAAGTGGCTCCCATATTGTACCTATGTGTCTGATTTTTTTTTATTAACACAAAGTTACATTATATGTACACAAAGGTACATTATATGTATCCTTATTGAGTTTCTTCTTATTAGATTTGACCTTTCATTCCAAACCCTCCAGATCTTCTATCCTCATCCTGTCATTTGACATGATAGCTATTCCTTTGGGGAAAGAAGGAAAAGCAAAGAGAAGGAAGAATTAGTACTTAAGATAATTTGGATTATTATTAAAAATGATAAGGAAAAAGCAGAAATATCCAACTCTTATTTCACTTCATTTTTACTCTACCCAGGAGAATTTTCTTTGGCACTTAGCTTCTTCAGCTGTAAAATAAGCTGGTCAGATTTGATAGTGGGATTCTAGAATTAAAACTAAAAGGGACCTTAGAGACCATTGAGTCTAATACCCTTATTTTATACTTGAGAAAATCAGGGCTCAGAGAGGGTGAGTGACTTGTGAGTGAATGTGTCTGAGGGTGGATTTGAACTCAGTTCTTCCTGTCTACCAGGCAAAAACTCCACTCACTCTATCTGCTGACCCATTTTAAACTCAAATGTCTGAAATACCTCTGAAAGGGGTTTTATGGCATTGATTAATCAAAATATTGAAAGCATTGTACATGTATTAGATTCTTTTCAATTAGGAGGCACTTTTGAGACTAAATTAATAGAAGATTCATGAATATGCATTCTGGTTTCCTAAGGGATAGGTACTAAACCTATGATTTCATTATTATAGAGAAATCTCAGGTAGTGAATCTCCCTTTACTACTACAAGTCAGCAATTTATACTATTAGAGAGTTGCCTAGAAACTGAAGCTTAGATCACTAGCCTAGTGTCACCCAGACCTTATGTGTGGGCTGGGATATAAGGGTGTGGAGGGAGGAGTTTGAACCCAGGTTTTTCAAAATTGAAGGCTGATTCTCTATCAACTTGACAATGCTGCTTCTCCCAAAATTATACTATTTGTGCC